GCGGCCTTGGCATTTGTTAAGTGCAAGCACACGCTCGTTTCTTTAGGTGCCAGTTATAAAGCTATGCAATGAATGTTATAGGAGAAAGGCGGCCCTTGAGGTCGAACCTTTCGCTGATGTCAGACCTTTCACGTGATCTATGACATCATAAATAACGTGAAAGCCAACTCAGTAGTTCCTGGGTAAGAGCAGCTGGCTAAAGACTTCGTTTTAACTTATTTCGCCCGGTGATTATATCCTTAGAGATCAGGGAAAAAAATATGATTTCCCGGACCGTCGTCGGTGGCAAAATCCCGCAGGTTGTACAAGGTCTATCCAAATGCACTGAACACACCCCATATCGCTTATTCCATCACAGACTAATTTGTAATGCTTCAGAAAGCTCTAAGATGATTGGGTCCATATTTTTGCGAAAACTGTCCGCGTTGTCAGCTCATGATACCAAAACTGTCAGAAATCCGAATCTATGTCCCTGCACCACGGTTCAGAGATGTGTCTTAGCCCATGTCAGATCGAAGCTAGAGATGATGCACGTGGATGAAATCGGACATCGACCTGGACATGAATATCACTAATGGTGTTTACCCGCACACCAAGTACTTGCATGGCACAGGACCACACACCCAGCGCCCTGAATGATATATAACGGTACAAATGGCGTCTTACGTTTGCACAATGCGGGAAATTGCAACGTGGCTCGGGCCAAAATCGGGACTTAACATCCAGTGGCCACACATGCCTCGGGTAACAGACACGAAATCTGCTGGCGGCTGCTCGGAACACGATCAAATTGGAGACTCACACAAGCAAGAGATACAAGTATGGACATCAGGTGTGTAGCTTTCTGAAATCGGTCGAGGGCTGAGCCGATAAGGTTGAGCTAAATTTACCACAAAACCTTATTTCTTTTCTGATTTTTGCTCCTTTGATTCTCCACACAGATGTTAAAATTCGAAAGGTAATTTTTCCTTGCCAAAGCTGCTTTGCTGGTGTGAAACGCTTTAAATGGGAGGTTATTCGAATAAAAAAACCTAAGTGATTTCAGGCCATTTTATAAACGCAATAGTGGTTCGCATGTGGTGGCATTCGAATGACCACTCAATGGGCAAACGTAAGGAAAACAATATAAGTAATCAGTGATCTTTCATTCGCCGAATAATGACTCGTCAGAATGTGCCTCTTTGAGGATGAGAATGAGTACCTGACAGCACCACTTTTGCTCAGAGCGGTACCTCGCTACCGTTCTGATACCATATCGGGCGACCCTGGGACGCCTTCACGGGATCGCTCGGGACGAGGGGCGGCTGCAGCAAGACGGGTGACACCGCACAGGGTACGGGCTTCACTGGATTGGTTCGATCATTATTTCTTTGGAATGCACATCAGCTAAAGCCTGGTGAACCATGGCTTCGCACTCGCCCGATCTGTTCCCCGACGGCTCCATGCTGTGGGGTAACCTGAACAGCCACGTCCACATGCTCAAGCTAGCGAACCTATAAAATCTCAAGGCCACCTTCAACTTGAGATGGGCGCACCACCGTGGACAATTGATCAGACAATTGACTACCATTTGATTTCACATGATGAAAGCGTAGTATCATAAAATACTGAAAAATGTGATGTTGAAACATTAGCGACGCCCAATGGTCTTCCATCAATATTGAGCAATGTGTGCAATTCCAGTCACCAGTGACGTTTTGTCCTACATAATATAAGAAGTTTCGGCACGGTTACTAGTTATCACAGAAATAAGACTGGCAGTTGAAGGACTTAGAAAAAGGCCTTAATTTAGCATGCGAATGCAAGCAGATTTCTCAAGTTCACGACGAAATATGCAAGAGCACCACTACGGTGGTCAAAACACGAGCACATGACATCTGGCTCAGCTAACACTTTCGGCACCGTGCTGTCAATTCTCGGCGAGTTTGAAATTTTAAAAGTGATGACAATTTGGCACTGGTAGTTTTGGCAGCACCCCAATGTCATACAAATGTTCCATGACGCATTTGAAGAGTAACGTGTTAAGGAGCATATTTACTAAGCAGAGATATGCTATGGTGTTGGACAGTCTTTTCCACTTACAAGTATATCAAGCGTTATAGTGGGTGAGGTTATTTAGTCCCATCTGATGTTTGCTTCAGTATATTCAAATGCATGGCATTCCATTAAATGCTGGACTTCACACATTCAATAGCAAAAGCACGGGGTCGAGACCTTTCCAGCGCGAGCCAAGAGCCGCCCAACGTACCGATTGTAGGGGTGGGTTTCCAAGAAGCATACGTGAACAGCAAACGGTGCAGAACATTAACGTTGTCGCTGATTGCCGCAATCAACGCAGCGAAATGTTTGGGAGCAAGGCCCCACGACCACGCCTTGAGTCACGCTCTGCAGCCGAACAAAGACGAGACTGGACGGTGGTGCCCAGGACGCTGACAGGTGCGAGTGGCGGCGCGCCTGCTGTAAAGCCTTCAAGAACCGGAGACCGGGTCGATGTACACACCTGGGAATGGGTCCGTGCAGCAGGGGTAGAACTTCTCGTTCCGGGTGGCTGGCACTTTGAGAATGTCCCACTCGACGCTCGGATAGTACTCCTTAAGGTCGATGCCCAGCTCCACGTGGTTGGATTCCCTTGACTGCTTGATGTGCCGCAGATCAATCTGGAATCACAGAGCGGAGTTCATGATCGCACGAAGTGCCGCCACAATTTGCGTCTCAAATCGCGGTACTGACGTGATGTTTACATAGATTCGCTAGGCTTAAAACTCCCAGCCGCTACGGCAAAGGATAATTATTAAAAACTAAATGAAAACCACAAACGGGCAACGGAGAAGTAAACGACCAGAAAACGAAACCAAGTAACGGAAAAGTAAGCAAGACGCTGTAGACAGTCCGATGCTCGATATTTTGGTAGATCATCAGAATAAATGACGCTTATCTGCGGTCATAAGGGGCTGCCAATTTGTACGGAAAGTATCCCGTGTTTCCACGATAATAAAAAGAGGACATAGCATGCCTGCTTACACCACAAATTAAGGTTGCATGTATTTGGCTTGCTCCTGCAGTACATGTGGGAGTGTGGGCGATTCATGCACATCGGGAACACTCCATTGTGTTATTTTGCCGCTTATTATTTTGATTTTGCTGCTTTATTATTTGATCATTTATTGATTAAAGAGTAGCATATAATCGCATTCCTGTTCTTAAGTAACCAATCATTTACACATAATAAATTACTTGTTTGCATCGAACCAGTGGATGATTTCCATGCTGTCAGTCATATATCTAAGGAGTCATCTTTTTTCTAACTGGCTTTCTCCTCGTCCAGTTTCGTTCCACCCTGCCCGTACGGCAAAACGGGAATCGGAATGAGGAAATAAATACGGAACGCGGGTCGTCCAGCGCGTGGGAAGCGGGGCGTGGTGCTCCTGGTTAGGTCGTGAAAATGTGCACATTTTGTTTTCTCACCATATGAGACGCACTCTCCCAGGGATATCGTAACATGGCACCCACCGATCTCCTGCTGCTAACGTTATAGCGCTGAGGGTCCGCGCAAGCTGGAATCATGGAAACGCCGGTCTCTTCGAATGACCCGTAACGCCGTCTGAGACGGATTGGTATCAGAGTCGACCTTGCAGAGTTTCAAAGGTCACTGGTGAATCATGCTCCGGCTAACGAAGTCACGAGAAGATTGGCTGCAAGATGACAGAGATGATGTAAATGACTGCAGAGCAGCAGTCGTTTGCGTCATCCTGTTCCGCTCCCTTTTTGCCCCGTTGTTTTACCCCGCATGAACGTGGTTGCGTGTGACTTGCAGCACGCACTTTTCTCGTTTTACAAATGACATGTATCGACACTCCCTTCCTGGGAACTCCTTCCGGTGCAAAGCAGTACCACATAAAAAATCACGCGCGTAGGAGGTGCCTTGGTTATATCTGCACGGACTGCACCGCCCAATGTTCTACCCCGCCCCGAGAAGGTCCTCGACAACAGTTCGCCACCATCAACAATCTAATCATTATTTATTGAACAGGCAAGTTAAAACGTCAAATATATGACCAAATAAAGATGCACACATAAGCGGTCTCTCACGCCGCCCGCTATGTCACTTCCCCGTTCATTCCCTGTATTAATAATGTCTTCAATGGCAAACCAATGGCTGAAATGCCCAACCGGTCTGACAACGTTCAATCCGGTCAGGTTTAAACCGATAATACTGAATCCATAAACGCTCCAAGGGGTCTCACAACAGCCGCCGCACATGGATCCAGTCGACATCGTTCGGAGAAATCTCTTCATGCCAGTTGGGTCATGAATCCAGCCGGCATCTGGTGCCAAGACGGGCAGAATAGTGTCGACGGGATCCAGCCGCCGAGAAAAGCGGAACGTGTGGCGCTCAGCTACTAACCATCATCTAAAGATATTTCATGATATGCAAATTCTCAGGCGTGATATGTCAGAGGATGTCTAGCGAGGAAGGGATTGTAGTTGGTGGGTGACGGAGTGAATGATAAACGGATGACGAATAAACGAATGATAAATGATAAACGGATACGGATAACAGCGTGAATGATGGTCCAGACAGTGTACCACACAATACTTGCAAGATAGAAGCAAATGCGTGCGAATCAATGAATTACTTTTTGGCCGCATTTTTTAAGGGTAGTTTTATAACAATTTTATAGCTGTTAACCCTGCGAAAGAACCAATGTTTCGTTTAAAGCTGTGTGATGTGTCTGTCTCCTTGTCGGGGTAATACAGTGTCAGGGCACCACCTCCGCTATTTCTTCAAGAGTTTTAAGGGATCATCAAATCTCGTCCTTGATAAACCTAGTCTAATCCCGGATTTTACCAGCTCTTGGCGATTTGTTGATAGAAAATATTGTGTTGAGCCGCATGATCCAACTCGCACCATCAGACCACTGGCCTACGATGTCATTCTGGGATAAAGCTGTCCGTGCAGCCGAGGGTTACACTGTTTCGGCAAAACGGTTAAGACGCCGCCCAATCACAGTTCCAAACACATCTTTAGAAAATGAGGCGATTGAACTATCGTAAACGATCCCTAATTATCTTTTGGCGTCACATTACAAATGTAGGAAGAGAAGCGAGAACGCCGAGTTAAAGCGTGGACACAGCCAAACAGCTTTTCTTCCCATACATGCATCACCAGCGATCACACCGAAGTGCTTAAGTAGATCCGTAGCCCTTGACAAGACCTATAAAAATAAAGGATAACTGCGCTGGACGTATTACTGAAAGCGAATGCTAGAGTGCAGCGCGCTTTCAGGATGTATCGGGGGTTGGTTTATGATCACGTGCTATAGTTCTGTTGCGATGCCAGTCAAGGAACTCCCGATACAACCCAGAAATACTGCAAAGGGTTGCTGGCGCCGTAGACGATGTCGTTCATGAGAGCCAAGCCTTGCTCAGGGGGTGAGCAGCTTGTTGACAGCTTGACGCCAGCTGACGCTGACGCTTAGCTGATCCAACGATATAGAGATTAATCGTTTCTGCCTCGTGTCGGTTGGGCACTGCATGAAATGACATGGCAGGTAACTTGACCATCAATGCTGGGTTACACAACGTACAAATATTGCCACATTTGGTAGCAACCCGTCTTTATAGATGTAAATAGCGGTACAACTTCAGATACTATGATATGTATCGTAGTATAGCAAAACGGGATACAATATTATATATATATATATATATATATATATATATATATATATATATATATATATATATATATATTATATATGTACATGTATAACTACACGGATCAGAATGTGTTGATGTGAGTACAGGGCACATCGCTCTGTTCGGGGCACCACTCCTCGCCAAACTGGGTTTAATATATTCAATATATCAGTGTAGTGGCCTAATCGTCTGTCCTTAATGGAAGTCAGACAAAGATGTCAGCATAAAAATGCGCAATAACATTTCGTTATGTTTTATTCTCATTCATTCATAATATGTCGTGTTATTTCGTAAGTACCAATGCGTTTCCTTAAATGCTAAAGCTTGCACACTAAACTAACAACGGGTATTTGCTTTCCTTCCATTCACCACTTCGTCCCAATACCTCAGTTCGTCAGGGAAAGAGAGGGAGAGACGGTATATTATAAAAACACGGCTTCGAGTATCAACTCATATAGCACGCAGGTAAGCATTGCATGTAAGCACAGAGTAACCTTTTAACATTCATTGAACGTCTTTACAAATGCAGTGGCGAGTGTGGTGGAGGGCTTACACTCAACTAGATGCAATGATATTCATGTTTATGAGAGTTGTGATATATGGTACGCTTGATTTTCGCAGCCTTGCACCGCAGCAAAATGTCTGCAACGTGTCACCATATCGGGTGTTCCTTCCCGAGATCGCCTCTCTTGTTGGTGGGAGCATGTCTCTATGCCCTGGATATATCAGGATTTGCTGTCCAAACCGTAAGCACATCGTCTCCCTCCTATCTGTAATTGTTCCCATTTTCAAAATCAGTGGCAGCCGTTGATAACTCTTGCCATACCCGGCAATGATTTTGAAAGCCCGCTTCTGTACTCGCTCAATTTGTTGGGCTTGGTGGCCGGTGAGCCCGGGATGAAAAACAGTCGCACAGTATCCAAGCAGTGGTCGAACATATGTGATGTAAATTATTACCATTTGATCTTGTGGCGGACGGAATTTCTTCATAACGTGAAGCATGTATAAAGCCTTTGCACCCCTCTTCACAATTTCATCAATATGTGCCTGCCAAGTCATATTGCTGGATAATGTTACCCCTAAAAGCTTAGTACTGCTAACACTTGGTAAGCTGATCCCATGTACTGCGACGTCCGGGAGTATCAGGGGTTTCTTAGAAATACAAGCGTGCATTACCTGACACTTCTCAGTATTAAGTACCACCTTATTTGCAGCTGCCCATCCACATATCTTGTCAGTTTTGTCTTGCAGTTGACTGTGCTCGTCTATTCGGTCAATCGCACATGCTTTGTATATTGATAGATCATCTACATATTTCAAACGATGTTGTGTCTCCGAAGCGGCACCGTTGATCATAGCTAAGAATTCAACCGGTCCAACCAGGGTACCCTGCGGAGTGCCGCATGTTATCGATTTCCAACCACTAACCGATCCATCTGACATCTTTACCCTCTGCTTTCGGTCCTGGAGAAATGAGGCCAACCACTTTGCATAGTCAGAGCGAAGTCCCATGCTGAGCATATGTTGCATTACCGTTGTATGGTCAATGAGATCAAATCCCTTCTTGAAATCATACAGAACTACAGAGAAGAGCTTGTCTGGCTTATCCAACTCAGAGAGTAACTCGTGCAGCAATCTTACCAAGTAGTGGGACGTTGAGGCGTCCTTTACATTACCGTATTGGCGTTCATCTATTTGCAGCCCTATGTCTGCCAGAATGAGAGGGAAAACGAGCTGTTCCAAAAGGGTGCCAAACGTAGGCGTAAAACTTACAGGCCGCAGATCTCCTGGCGACTTCGATGTTATTTTTTTAGGAAGTGCAATGATGGTTGCCCTCTTCCAGACTGTTGGAACCTGGCCCTCCTTAAACGGTCAAGAATATATATGGGTGAGAGGTGGCGGCAATTCGATGTATACGTCTTACGTCATACGTCATACGTCACACGTCAGAGCGCTC